GAATTTACTCTGTAAATCTTCACCCAAATCCTAAAAAAAAAAAAAACTGTAAGAGAATAAATTCCCGTTTGTTAAAGCCACCCATTTGTGGTATTTTCCGTTAGAGCAGCATGAAGCAACCAACACACAATCTCAAGATTTAGATACTTATCCATACTTTTTTCCTAAATCTTTATAGTCTTCCTTGTTACATATTACTCTTCAATACATATGAATTATTTTGGACCTGTATGATATGATTTAATAATATAATTTTGTGTTTTCAAAATAGACAAACTGTGTAAGTGATTTCAAATCATAAAAATCACAGTTTTGACAATGTGCTCCTAAATTTAATCTAAAGTTTAAATAGTCTAGAAATTTAGTCCAGAGAGTGAAAAGGGCAGGGAGACTACCCTAATGTTCAGACTATTAAAACCAGAATAACCGATTAGCTTATTCTAATCCTTCATAACACATAGTTACAATTCTATCATCTTGGTCACAAAGTAGTGGGAGTTTAACTCCAATTTTCCTGGCCTACTGTTTAGGGTTTCTGAGCTGTTCTATTCTTAGTCAAGATGTTCATTTTAGCATCTCAGGATACACCATTGAAACTTCAGGATTGAACACAGTTCTGATGCCACTTCAATAATTGAATGCTGAGTCAATAATTCATCCAGGATGTAGTGGGCATTTCACAGAAATGATTCAGTGAGCTATTGTTGATCAGAGTCACTTTCCATTTTATTATATGTTATAGTGAAGCCACTTCAGAAGAAAGATGGGGCAATCTACTTCCGTAGTGATACTGCCTCAGAAACCCAAGGAGGGGTCGCTATGAGTCAGGTCTGACTCAACGGCACATAACAACAACAACAACATAGTGAAGCCACTACAAGGTTATATAGGAAGTCATTTTTTATATGTGGCCTAAGGCATTTGACTGCTAACCAGAAGGTTGGCAGTTCAAATCCTAAGCACTCCACAGAAGGAAGATAAGGCAGTCTACTTCCATAAAGATTTACTGCCTCAGAAACACAATGGGTGTCCCTAGGATTCAGAATGGACTAGATGGCAGTTGGGGGGTAAGGGGAGAGAGAAGGAGAAAGGGAGAGAAGGAGAGAGAGAGTGAGCGCTCTGGTGGCATAGTGGTTAAGCCATTTGACTGCTAACTAAAAGGTGAGTGGTTCCAATCCACCAGCCACTTTGGGGAAGAAAAATGGGGTAGTCTGCTTCCATAAAGATTTATATCCTTGGAAACCCAGTGCAGGTCACTATGAGTCAGAATCCACTAGATGGTGGTGAGTTTGGTTTTTTGGTACATATATTACTTACTTATTTATTTACTTACTTACTAACCACTATGCCAGAAGCTCTGGTAGCATAGTGCCTAAGGTATTTGACTGCTAACCAGAAGGCTGGCGGTTCAAACTCATCAGCCACTCCTCGGAAAGAAGGTTGGGCAATCTACTTCCTTAGTGATACCACCTCGGAAACCCAAGGAGGGGTGGCTATGAGTTGGATACAACTCAACAGTAATGAGTGTTTGTAACTAAACATTTTTTACTAAACTCTTGTTATTCCCAATATATTTTCATATTGATTTTCTGGGTTTTTTTTTTTTTTTTTTTTTTTTTTACTTACTTATTCATTTATTTTGCAGGAGAATTGAAAAATCCTACTGAAAATATACCTAAATGTGTGGTTACTGCTCTTAGCCTTGTGACACTGATCTACTTACCAGCTAACATTTCGTATCTAGCAGTCTTAACTCCAGAAGAAATCATGGCCTCAGGTATGACTACATAGAACCAAAGGGAAGATTTTCTTTCCTATTCCTCTCAATAAAGGTGGTTTCTTTTATACAATAGGTCTTTTTGCATGCCTTAAGGAAAATATATTGCATTGGTACATGTCTGGGTTATTTGTGTATTTAAAGATAAAAGTTTAAGAGGTCTAAGCAATCTTTAATTTTGAGAATATACTGAAGGGTGAAATCTAACAGCAACAGAAAGCACCAAGAATTGGGAAAGGAAAAGAGGGCAGAATATAACAAAGTGTGAAATAGAATGGAAATATAATTATCTATCAGAATCCTTTAGGATCCATTCCTTACAGGTGTCTTAAGTGCTCTAGATTGACATATGCTTCCCAGGAGATACAACTCATATGCTTTCTTAGTTCAACTGAAGTATTTATCTAGTCCTTGTCTGAGGAGTCCTGAGGGTGTAATGATTAAGCACTTGGCTGCTAACTGAAAGGTGAACAGTACTAACTAACCAGTGGTTCCGCAGGAGAAAAGACCTGGTGATCTGCTCCAGTAAAAATTATAGCCTAGGCAACCCTATGGAGGCTGCTCTACTCTGTCCTCTAGGGTAGTTAGGAGTTCGAATCTACTTGACAGCACACAGAAACAGTAACACAATAGTCGTTATTTGCAGTCAGTCTAATCTATCTTATTTGTCCACACCCCAGCCAGGTAATATCATATACACCACCAGCCAAGTAATAGTCATCCATGCAACAGAAAGATTGAGTCACTGTTATGGTAATGAGGGTACAGAAGACAACTGTAAATGTTCACGGGTGTTTTGCTTAAAAGGTAGCAGAGGTGAGTCCATCACCTGCTGTTTTAGATAGACTTTGCAATGGGAAGAAGAATAGAAATGTAATTATGATCAAAGCCATCTGGCTTGCAACACTTTCAGAGAGCATCACCAGGGCATTTTCCTTCAAAAGAAGTCCCCAGGGGCGACTGTGAAATACAAAAGACCTTTTTTGTCTCTCCTTTACCACATCTCCCAGAATCTAAAATGTTTCCTCTCAAATGCTGAGGCTGTAGCTCATCCCCCACTACCACAAAGTCTGTCCATTTCCAGTACTGATTGCCTCTATTTTTTCCCCAATCATCCCCCCTCACAGTCAGACTTCTCATCCAGAAGGGTCAAAAGCAAGTGGGATGAAGAAGTTTTACTAAGCTACAAAGGGTTTAAACAGCCAACCTTTTGGTCATAATTCTCACTGTAAGAGGACTTAGCAAACAGTGTATAAAAAAGGTGGTCATTATCCTTCTAAGCTTAGGAGCATGTCAATACAACAAGACAATATAGGTGGATAAAAAAGAATTAATTTGAATCCCCCATGCCCCCTTTTGACCAGTCTGCCACCCAAAGTTGACACCAACCAGCTTACCTTGGCTTTTTAACAGAGCTTCAAAGTTCCTCATATTTTCTCTTTCAGAAAGCCTGGCTTCTGCCAGCATCCCATGCAAGAGACCAAAATTGTTAAGAACCATAAAGGGTCTGGGATAGATTTTACCATACTTGTAAGCTAACAAGTTAGTTTACAGTTTCATGGATACTGGCAGAAGACAGTATCTCTATGTTGTTGTTGTTGTTATGTGCCATCGAGTCAAACCCGACTCATAGCGACCCCTCCTTGGGTTTCCGAGGCAGTATCACTACGGAAGTAGGATTGCCCAACCTTCCTTCCGAGAGTATCTCTATATTTCAAGGTTTTTTGTTATGAAAACATCATGAAAAAGTAAGTCTGAAAATTAGTCAATAGATGCCTCTGCTCTCAAAATGTGCAGAAATATGAGAGAGTCAGACACAAAAGACAATTTATGACTCATAGTAAAAGCAGTAGCCAAAAAGTATCATTTATGTGCTAGTTCCCTAAGCCCCAGTTGCCATAGGTGACAAAGAGGCTTGGTGATGCCTATCATGCAGTGGGTTGCATTCCAGGAGAGAAACCTCAAGCTTAGGAATTCTGAAGCTTTTATAATGGTAAGTCAGCCTACCATATTTTGCTGCAGAAGGAGACACTTCTATTCTATTGTATATTAAACACGACTCTCTTTTGCTCCAGAGGGAGATACTATCTCTATATTTCAAGCTTTTTGTTCTGAAAACATCATGGAAAAGTAAGTCTGGAAATAAGGTAATAAATGCCTCTGCTCTCAAAACGTGCAGAAATATGAGAGACCCATGCAGACTGCCTTGCATTGAGGACAAATTAGAATATATCTTAAACAGAATAAAAACAAACTACAACATATCAAAACTGATGGAATGCAAACAAAGTAGTGATTAGCAGGAAGTGTATTGATTTTAATGTTTATTAAAAAGGAAGAAATCAATGATCTAAGCTTCCGCCAAAAGAAGCTAAAAAAAGAATGGCAACTGAAACCCAAGATAAGTAGGAGGAAGAAAGTAACAGAGATCAGAGAAGAAATCAATGAAATACAAATCATAAATGTAATGGGGTCTTTGCTAGGACTATAATATTTACTCTTCCAAGAAATCTTGGATTTATTGGGATAAGCCAATAAATCTTGGATTTATTCCAAGTATAAATTTTACATCAGTTACCTAATTAGTGGTTTTTCTAATTATTTTTTTGCAGATGCTATTGCTGTTACCTGGATAGATAGAGTAATCCCTTCTATGCAATGGGCTATTTCAGTTGGAGTTTCTACCTCAATATTTAGCTCCCTTAATTGTACAATATTTTCAATATCAAGGATATTCTTTGGTGCAAGTCAGGACCGCCAGCTACCTTTCATCTTCTCGACTCTCAATATGCACTCCTGTCCAGCTGCAGCTGTGATTCACGTACTCATCTTTGCCTCCATTATGATTATTGCCACAGACGCAATCAGTTTAATAAACTATGTGGGATTCACAATGTGGCTTCAACTTGGGCTACTGATAGTAGCTTTACTTACACTGAGAATCCAGGAGCCCAACCTACCCAGACCTTATAAGGTAAATCAAATTCCCAAAAAGAAAATAGCTCCTTGATCCTTCTAAAGAGCATTTTGTTCTGTCAATATTTTTTTTTCTCAGATCTACATGTGAACTCTTTCTAGCCCATTTGTGAGCCCATTTTAGGAACACTTTGACGTAAAACCTAGATTTCCTGTTTACTGATCCATAAGCTTCTTCAATAATTTTCAATTTGAAATTTCAGGAAAGTGAAAAATTCATCCTTTTTATGAGTCATTTCTAACTCATAGCAACCCCCATTGGGTTTCCAAGGCCATAAATCTTTATAGGAGATTGCTCAGTCTTGCTCTCATGGAGTGGCTGTTGGGTTTGAACCACCAACCTTCTGGTTAGCAGTCAGATGCCTTAGGCACTGCACCACCAGAGCTCCTGATATATATTATGGCAAATACACCCCCTGAATTCTGAGTCACAGAGTGACCACATGGAATGTGAAATATATGTACTACATCTCAGGGAAGAGTCTGACCAAATCCAGGACCAATGATTATTTGCTCCTGGCCTTTCTCAATGACACTAGTTCAGATCACCTCTTAGAGGAATTAGGCTTTCCTTGTATTCCTCACAAAGTTGAAGTGGACGTATTTCTCAGGCTTCTTAATTAAAATGTCTATCAGCACTTAACACTCTGCATTTACTGGGTAATGAAGAAGAGCTACATCTCACTATCTGTGAGAGGGTGTAATCTCAACATATTCATCTTTCAAGCTTACCTGAGATGCAGACTATCTATGGAGGACTGACTGAGGGATATAGATTCTTTCTGCACATTCCTCAAGCCACTAAACACTCTCCTTGCACATCTGAAACACTTAATAAAACACAAGGAAGAATTTTCTTCTTCTTCTTCTAATTTTCCTACAGCCCACCCACCTATATTGAAAAAACTTTCACCAAACAACCCCTGGAAATTCATCCCTACATTTACTGCAAGTCGATTGTTAAATGATTTTTTAATATATATTATGCAAGAGTTTCTCTATGTGTATACTCACTGAAAAAAATTCTTTTCATTACCTGCATCAGGAATACTTGTGTTTGTGGGTAGCTTGATTGTTTCCTTACTGAGACCTGGACTTTTGTAAGATCTTGTTAGAAAGTGTAAAGCCAAATTAGTAGTTAGTCTCTAACACGTAAATAGCACTCATAACAAACATTTTGTCTTACTATATAGTGTTTACTATTGTTAAAAAACAAACCAAACGCACTGCTGTTGAGTCTGGTCCAACTCATAGCCACCCCTCCTTGGGTTTCCAAAGCAGTATCACTACAGAAGTAGATTGCCCAACCTTCCTTCTGAGGAGTGGCTGGTGAGTTTGAACCGCCAGCCCTCTGGTTAGCAGTCAAACGCCTTAGGCACTACACCACCTTAGACCACTAAATTCTTTTTTAAATGAGATAGGTTCCAAGTAATGCTTATTTTTTCAATGAATTGTATTATAAAAACAGTCAATGATTCCCTCTTATAATTTCCTATGTATAAGACAAAAGAAGGTAGCAGGACAACCTCAGAGATACATCAGCAGTATAGCATGGTATGGGGGTGGGGGGTGTGAAAGAGAGAGCCACACAGTGTGTATCCAAGATTTCTAAACCCTAGGGTGAAAAATAATTCTTTGGAGATGCCTTTTATAAATGCAAATTCCTGAGATTGATTCCTGGGATGAGGAACAAAAATCTACATTTTAAAACGCATTTTCAGTGTTCCTTATGAAAAATTTCCACCCACCACAGTACCTTGTGACTTTCTATATTACCTTCTAAACTGAAAAGAGTGGAAGATAATGATAATCTTGGGTCTGAGTCATTCAATGATTCAATAAATACATACTAGGCAAGTGTTTTGTGAAAGACACTAGTCTAAACACTTGAGGGATATGTAGATAAATTAGTCATTAATCCTGCTGTCAAGAAATTTATAGTCTAATAGGCAGTGAGGGTTTTTTTGGGGGGGGTTAGGCAAGAGTGAGTTACCAATAATAATAATAATAATACAGACATTAACAGATAACATTTAATTGGGCTTTGAAAACAGGCAGTGTTAAGGTCCATTTTAAGAGGAAAGTGGGTAGCAGAGCAAGTTCAATATCATGCCCAATATCACAGACTCTGAAACTAATTTTTCTGAATCCAAATCATGTGGTCCTTCATTAGAGAAATTGTGTCATAAAGGAATTACTTATAATGTTATTTCGAAACTAAAGTAGCGTGATGTGCAGAAAGTACAAATTTCAACAGTGATTCACTTCAAGATATAAAAGTTTGAAAAAAAAACAATGAAAAATGCTTTATATTAATAATATGGAATAATATTTCAGCATGTCTTCAGTCAAGAAAACAAAGTGAGCAGGTGGCAAGGACCAATGGAAAAAAATGGGAGTTCAGCAAAAGTAAAAGCTTTTGGGTCTGCTATTTTACACTCCACTCAAGATCCCCGGAAGATATTTTTTTCCCCTTATGTAAAACTGTGGGAGAATTTACAGATCTTTCTTACCCTTTAAAGCAACTTACTCAGTATTAAAGAGATGTTTGCAGACTAAAAAAAAACTGTTAAATTATTATTTGTAATAATCTTTGTCAGCTCTAAAACTAATTTCTTTTTGCTCTCAGGTATATTTGCCATTTGCATTTGGAACCATAGCCACCTCTTTGTTCTTAGTTTTGACACCAATGATGAAGTCTCCTAAGATGCACCATATCTATGTTTTTCTTTTTATCCTCAGTGGACTTTCATTTTATTTGCCTTTTGTTCACTTTAATTTACATTCTGCCTACTTCAACAAGATAACATGCTTTTTACAACTACTAATGAATGTTTCACCTGCCCCTGACATTGATGAATAGATTTTAGCAGAAGAACCATCACAGAAAAAATCTATCTGAAATTGAAGCAAATATATATATATATATATATATATATATATATATACATAATTTATGCATATTTGGAGGAGCTCTGGTAGCATAGTGCCTAAGGCACTTGACTGCTAACCAGAAGGCTGGCAGTTCAAACCCACCAGCCACTCCTCGGAAGGAAGGTTGGGCATTCCTACTTCCGTAGTGATACTGCCTTGGAAACCCAAGGAGGGGTTGCTATGAGTCGGGGCCGACTCGATGGCAAATAACAACAACAACAACATGCATATTTGGCACATGAATGATCTATTGAAATAATTTTTCTTCTTCAACCAGGAAATACTCCATCTTATGCATACACATATTGATGCATACCGAAAACACAACCATTACAAGATGCCTAATGACCAGAACATTCAAATTTTCACTCTCGAGATTTGTAACTAAAGCTCTAAATCCAGAACGAAGCGTGCTGATCCAATCTGCCAAAAATGGGCTCGATGTCCCCTCCTGTGTTCTTACAGCATTCTGGGCTTTTTATGTGAAAGGCCCTGTTCTCTTCTAATTGACTGTTTATTGAACTTGGTTTTTTCTTCCTATAGATAGTGACCCCTCCAAGGGAGGGAACAATCCTTATTCATCTTTATATCTTCTGTCCCTAGGACAGTGTGTGGATAAAAATAGATATTTGATTAAGTAATTCATGAATGCATAAATCGAAGAAAGAGTGAATTAATAAATGAATGAATGAGTGGATAAATAAATACCCCACCCACAAACTCACTGCTGTCGAGTCAGATCCGATTCATAGCGACCCCTCGTTGGGTTTCCAAGGCAGTATCTCTACGGAAGCAGACTGACCAACCTTCCTTCCAAGGAGTGGCTGGTGGGTTTGAACCACCAGCCTTCTGCTTAGCAGTCAAGTGCCTTAGGCACTATGCTACCAGAGCTCCTAGAATAATAATAGAATAGAATATATATAATAGAATAAATAAATACTATCTGTAAAACCCGAAAGATAGTACCTCTCATGATACTCTACTTTGGCTTAGGTTCTTGGGATGACCTGGCACTTCAGAAATATACCATGATCCTTTGAAGCTCTATGTTTTGGCATGACTGAAGCTGGAATCTATGTAGAGATAAGACTAAAAGAAATGCCTACACTAATTTTTAGGAGCTCTGGTAGCGTAGTGCCTAAGACACTTGACTGCTAACCAGAAGTCTGGCGGTTCAAACC